GGGCGGCCCGGGCTTGTTGCGAAACAGAGAAGTCACAAAGCGGCGGCCCGGCCGCCGTGCAGGCGCGCGGCGACCTCCCCTCGGACGCGACGCCGGGGCTGCGGGGCCGCGGGGTCCGGCTCCTTTCGCTTTTGGTTCGGCCTCCGGGCTGGGGGCGGCTCCCGGGACGCGCGGGCGAGGATGCCTGCCCGGCCGCCCTGGCTCTCGCTCAACTCCAGAGAAATGGATTAACTCCTCTCGGCCCCACCTTCCTCAGGGTTTCCGGGGTACCAGGCCTCGAACCCCGACGGCTTCCTCCCCGTGGCCTCGCCGTCCGCCTGGGGACAGCCACCCCATCCCGCCGCGCTGTGGCTGCGGCTCCTGGGCTCCGGGCAGAAGTGTTCGGTGAGGTTCGCCAGGCCACGGGGCGTGGATGTGGCACCCACCTGGAGGGTGTCTACCTGAAAACCAAGAGAGTGTAAAGGGGGGGAGTGGCGGAAGCCGGGCCGAGTGGTGCGGGCAGAGGCGCGGGCGGGGCGGAGGCGGGGGAGCACTGAGCTCTGGCCGAGCCTGGACGGCCCCAGTGTTGCCCACAGTTCTGCTTCCCCCACCCCAAGCCCCACAGCAGACTTTTTGTTTCCTAGAAATAAAGTTTCCCTTTCTCCTCGCACGGATCAGGGCTAGCACAAGCGTGGAGCCACGACCTAAAATGACTAATGGTGACTTGATACAGTTCAAACCCTGCAAAAGGGATTCGTGTTCTGGAGGAGCTTGAAAGCGTGATTTTGAAGTAGAGCCTGCGCCCAAAGTATGTGGCCGAGATCATTGGGTCACTGGAAACCAAAGGTGGGTTTGTTTCAGCCCCGTAAACGTTTCCTGGGTGCCACGCCCTGCTAGGAAACAAGATTACAAAGATTCATAGTTCCTTGGGGGTCTAGGAAACTGATGTTATCAAAATAAAATACAATTGTACAGAATATTAAATAAATGTATATATATGTATATTAAATACATGTATATTTAATAGAGATCTGCACAGAGCTGAGAGGCAGGTCCCAGTACTCCTATGAAGAACCAGAGAAGTTTTCCTGACGATGATATTAGAGTTTTTGAAGTTTTCTTTGCTCTCCAGGCAAAGAAAAGTGAGACTAGCGTTCCAGTCCAAGGAAACAGCAGGAGAAAATGCATAGATGGCAAATTGCTTGTTTTTCTGGAACTAGAAAAGCAGTGCAGTGTAAGGCAGAGAGGACACATCACCTGAGCCCTGCCAAGAATCTTGTTTGTTTTTGGTTTTGTTAGCGAGGAGAGCAGGAACACGGACAGACTTGTATTTCTGACCACTGTGGCTGGGGGGCGGGGGGTGACCATCATATCCAATAAAGCAGAAGCTTTTAATCAAGCTTTAAAAAAAAATCACAAAAGCTGTCATGCATAGTGAGCCATCATATGTATCTGCCTAGGTTTCTGTGCTCTGAAAACCCATCCTCTTCCCCCGTCTTCCTTCCTTTCCCCATCCCCGCCCATTTCTCTACTCTACAGCTGATCTGATTTTAAAAAACCCTCCCTGAGGCAGAGGAATTATGACATCAAATGGAATTCATTTGACCGCTTTATCTTTCTGCTTTGTGTAATTCCCTTAAGCAATCCAATTGGCTAATCACTTTTAACACCAACATACAAGAGTTGTCTGACTGTAAAGGCAGTAAGAATTTTGTTGTGTAAAAGAAGTATGTGTACGTGTGTTTATTTATAATAGGTGTATAAGTGTAACCGTCTATGGGTACATAAGTGTCAAGCGCTGAGGAGAAAGCACAGTGCTGCTCTCCCTTGGAAAAGCTTTCCAGGCCATAGATCTTATAACACCCATTACCTGGAATAGCAAAGTTTATATAAGAAATGCAAAGTCCTGAAAAACAACCTTACCGGTGAAGGAAACCAGGATATGTCACCCTAAAATATGCCTCTTTGACATACTGTTTTGAGCTGAAGGCAATTAAGAAGCAGGAAAAGCTCTCCCTACCCTCTGCCTTTCTGTCTAAAGGCAGGATATAAATTTCCTTTACTGGAGGGCGTTCTAGACTCAGACCTAAAGATGGCATCAGAGGAATCTGCAAACAAACGTCATTTCATTCTTTATCCCCCATATATTAATCCCACAGTTTCCCACCCTTGGAAGCCTAGAATCATTTTCCTTTGTCCCGTCATTTCTGTACAGATGTATCATTTCTCTGTTAAGATGCTATATACACCCAAGTTCTAGCCACCTCTTTGAGTTACTCACCCAGGAATTTCTGTCATGTATATTTGAGATATATATCATAATAAACATCTCTTTATTTTTCTCTTCATCTGTTTTTTGTTAACAGAGACCCCAGCTGAGGACTTATAAGAGTAGAAGAAAAAATTTTTTTCTTTCCTGACGTTGGGTACCCTTAGGATATATAGTAAATGTGTGCTTTTTCCCCCTTAAGTTGATTCCCGACTTTCTTTCTGTCAAGGAAGTCACAGTGTCTCAAAGTAAGTGTCTCAGTGGACTGTCCTTTTGAGAATGATTCTTCCTTGGTGACCATCATCTAGTGAAAGGCAGCATGCTTCTGATCTAAATCCTTACATCAGAGCTCAAGTATCATCCCCTTTTTATGGATGAAGAAACTGAAGCTCAAGGTTGTGCTGCTAATGAATAGAGGTGCAGAATTTGAATCTAGGTCTAACTCAAAAGACTGTAACACTAACCGGTGTGTGAGCTCACACTTCTAATTCCTCAAACTCCAGAACTACAGAAGGAAATTCCTTAAAATATATATATAGTTATATTATTTTAAAGCTTTTGTATGTATGTGTATTTATGCATGGATGTATTTATGCATTTTGAAAAACATCATATATAATAACATAAACAACTGAGAAGCAGACATAAGTCCCTGACAAGAGGTCAACGTTCTCAATTTCCCAATTTCTGTTTGGTCCTTTCTCATAGAAATATTCAAAATTAAATTGTAGTTACAGATTTGTAGATTGATTACTTTTATGTATCAAATATCTACTCCATGTTGTTAGTCTTCAAGTTACCACTTTCACTCAGTATTCACCCATTGAATTAATGAACTGTAATTTATTTCACTGCCCTCAATGTTAAACATTTATGATTATCCAGATAGTTCTCTATTTTAAATAACATTCTACAAGCATCTCAGCTTTTTCTGCATTTCTTTTCCTTTAGATAAATCAATTTCTTTGCTCCCAATAACTGGAGTGTTGCAGTTTCATTACCTATCACCTCCACATCTGTTTTCTTAATGTTATCTACTACAGGAGCTATAAAACACTGTGGTTTTAACTTAATAATTCTTTTTAAAGCTATCAATCCCTTATTTCATTGTTGTAAAAGAGATCACTAGTTACCCAGCACAGCATCCATCTTCACTTTCTCCTTAGTAATGAATTCCCACTTCAGAGTGGATACATTCTGCCCTATACAAAAGGATCAGATTAATCAGTTTCCCTTGCAGCTAGGGGTGGCCATGTGACTTGTTTCTGACCTATGACATGTAGGAAGAATCCTAATGTGATATAAGAAGGCTGCTTAAGGGAAGATGGAACCTGACGGAATGGCTGGACTCCAGCAGATGTATTGGAGTATGCAGTAACTGACCTTGAGGAGAGAGGCCATGAGCAAGGATAGTGAAACAAAGAGGTAGGTACATAGTCCCTAATGGCATCATGGAGCTGCTAGGGCAGCCCTGGATTGCCTAACTTTGGGCTTCCTTTATGTGAAAAAGAAATACACTTCCACCTTACTTAAACGCTATTATTGGGGAGTTTTCTCTACAATGCAGCCACAACTAATATAGTTGACCCTTGAACAATGTGGGGGCTGAGGACGCCAGCACTACTGCCAGGAGAAAATCTGAATGTAACTTTATAGTTGGCCCTCCGTATCTGTGGTTCTGTATCAGTGGATTCAGCCAGTCTTGGATCATGCAGGACTGCAGCACATATTTATTGGAAAAAACCTGCGTATATGTAGACGGGCACAGTTCAAACCCATGTTGTTCAAGGGTCAACTGCACTTCCTAAATTAGTTGTTTTATTGCATCTCCTTTATGATGTCTCTAAATCCCAGGTACCCAGTTGTTTGATGGGCCATTTTCCTAGAAAATTGAGTATAAATTCATTTTTCTAAATACCACCTTTGAAATACTTTAATGGATCTTCGTAAGTCACCCCTTCATGTATCCCTTTTGTAAATCTGGATTTGCATGTGTTAAATTTGCTTAAAAGCCTTGCTTATTTCTTCTCCTAGGTCATGTTAATTTTACAAACTCATCCTGCAGTCTTTGTGTTCTCCTCTTAAAGTGTGTTTTTACATACCTGGAGTTCCCACTTTAAGACACCATGTTGTTATCCTAGATCAATTATGAGACACAATACTTGAAAAATTCTCTTTAGAAATGATTTTAAGTGTTGAATGATGTTTCTCCAAAGATGATTTTGTTTACTTCATGTTGGCACTGAAGACACTTGTTATTTATCATCATCCGGACCTTATTTTAGGGCTTGAGGTTTTCTATGTCCCCCAGATACCTTGCAACCAGACTTAATGCTGTGTATGAGGGCTAGGTATTTCTTCTTCACCCTTACTTTGGCCCCACTGCCCTGGCCTCGGGAGCTTAAATCCCCTGCCCCTACTTATAAGGTAGCTGAAAGCCATGTCCAGCGGCCTTTCCTCACTAGCTGATGCGCCTGACCAAACACAGCCCCATAGCTAAGCTCACTCTTCTGGATTTCTTTTTTTTTTTTTTTTTTTTGAGATCTTGGCCCAGTAACTCCACATCCTTTGGTTAAATCTGATGCTTTTAAGATGTTTTTATATTTCCACAGATTTTTCAGTTATCTGAATTTCCTAGTCCAACATTATTAGAAGCAGAAGCTGGAGCCTTGCATTGATACATTTCTTTTATTAGGATAAACTGTCATGTTTTTTGCAAAAGCAACTTTTTAAAATTTATAGTTTCAGTCACTTATCATTACTCAGCTCTTTAATTACCAGATAAGAGTGTACAAAAATTAGCACTGCTAATTCCATTTCCCTACCATTCTTTACTTATTCTGTATGTTTTTATTCACAGGCAGTAAAAACAAAACAAAAAAAACCAATTATTTCTCTTTTCTAGAAGCTGCAGTATCACTTCTTTGTGAATGTGGACTGAACTAGTGACTTCTGAAGACTAGAGTATGGAAAGGAAATAGATTACCTTTACAGAGGAGAAATCTGGCAGACACCACCTTAACCAGATGATCAGTTAACATCACCAGTAATAAACTGATATTCTGCATATTGATATCATAATATGATATTATGAGAAAGTATTTCACCTCTGTGGTATTTTGCCCAAAGCCCATACCCCAAGTCTAATCATGAGAAAACAAGACAAAGACAAATTGAAAGCCATTCTATAAAATACTTGATTATTACTTTCAAAAGTATCGATGTCATGAGAAACAAGGAATTATTGAGAAACTGTCATAGACTAGAAGGGACAAAGGAAACACAGTATCTAAATGCAATATAGTGTCCCAGACTGGATCCTGGAACAGAAAAAGGACCATGGTGGAAAAACTAGTGAAATCTGAATAAAGCCTATTGCTTAGTTAATGGTAATGTGCCAAAGTTAATTTCTTAGTTTTGAAAAATGTACCATGGTTATATAAGGTGTTAATATTAGGAAAAATTGAGTCAAGGTATGCTATCTTTGCAACTTTTCTATAAATCTAAAATTAATCCAAAATGTTTTTAAAACTCAATAAGATTTCATATTTAAAATCTCATTCTTCATTAGTCACCT